TGAGCAGGGGAATCCAGCCCAGTAGGAAAGTCACATTTTTTGTACAATAGCCGGAACCAGCTGTAGCGACAAGCTCCAAATGATCTCTAAATCCTGTCCAAACACGGGTTGTACCTCCCAGCACAAGCTAATCCCAACTCTGATAACTACATTTCGCCTGTTCCCAGGCGCTCCATAGCTCGCTGGGATGAATCGCGATTTAATTCCCTTTACAGCAAGAGCTACGTGTTGTTGCTGGGGAAGAACTGCTCCCAGGTGGAGCAGTGGTTACATTGAGCTTTAAGAAACAGGCTTTTTTGTTCTGGGACATTTATAAAAATACCTCAAGGTTGATTATCACACCCATATTAAAACAATCATTTCTACTTAGCAGCCACTTCCCATGGGCGCATTAAATAACCTCTGATTTTAACTCCCAACACCACAGAAACGTTTCTCCGCCTGCAAAAAGGTAGAGTGAGTTTAGGAGAATATTCCCTGTGTGCATCATCCATGCGTGACAATGGCCATTTTAGCCTGTGCTTCTCTCCCAGACACTGCCCTCTCACGGCCAGAAAACACCCTCAGATCTGCCATGAGACATCAGGAAGCTTAGAGCATGCAAGGATCTAAACCGAGGGGTTTAGAGCAAGCCAGGAGACACAGGAACAAGAAGGCTGCTCCCCTTCTCGTGATAAAGCTGTATCACCTCTGTGCGCGATGCACGGTCCATCCCAGGCTTCCTGAACAGATCTCTTGTGGGGAAGACAGAAACAAAAGCCCTCAGCAGGTTGCCCAACAGCGAGTTTCCCTTCCCTGGAACTGCCAGTTAGTCATTTCCTACATGGAAAGGGACTCACTGCAGAAGCGAAGGGCCTGATTTTTAATGTTCTAATTCCAGATTAAAAGGGCAACTCACTCCCACTCAGGTGGCCTTAAAAAGTAGCTCTTTCCTCTCTCACGCTGCTTGGACTTCTACCATTGCTCCCCTCCTAGGTGGAGCATGGAAAAGGTTTTTGTTGGAGCCCTAACCCCTCTTTTTCAAAGCCTGGGCACATCGTCTCCACAAAGCTAAAACATCAGAGCAGGGAAACCACAGTCCAGAGCATAATTCAGGCCTTGCACGCAACTCGAGAAAGAAACAGACTCATCTGCGCTTTCCCCTTGGTTGCATCCTTCATATTGGCTTGAGAGCTTCCAGTGCCTGCAGACAACCTTGTGATTTTTTCCCTTGACAGCAGGATACTATGTGTCCTCTGCTCGATAATCATATTTCTTTGCCATGCTACATCTGCTAAGACTGCAAGTGCTGCACAACCAGAGCCACTTTCCTTTTCCACCTGCATATTCTGATGAATCTTTCAGTCTTCCTCAGACTGACAACTAAATGACTGTGCTAGGAGACTTCCAAGGTCATCCAGTCACCCGGCTCTCCCTCTGCACTGTGTCAGTACTGACCTTGTTCAGGTGAGCCACATCTCAGTATTTGTATTAAATCCGCCCTGAAAAAGCCTCTCCTCAATCCTGGGTCACTGTCTGGCTGCACTGACCGCGGAACACCTTGAACAACACTGGCAGTGCTCCCTATCTCCACATAAAGTTCACCTTATAAAAGGTCTTAAGGACAAAAAAAAATAGTTAGACAGCATATACCCACCAAGACAACACTGTGTTATTAAATATGGATGAATGGTCGGCATGGTAACTGCTCCGGAGAGCTAGAATCCCCCCCAAATGTTCAATGGCCAGAAGAAACCGTCACTCACACACCTGGTCTTCTCCCTTCCTTACCACTATTGATGAACCTCGTTCGAAGCCTGGAATCTACCTAATTCTGCACCATTTTGCCTCAGCTAATTGCAGAGGGAAACGGAGTGTGCCACTTCTCTCACTGCAGCCCATCCAGATTTCTTTGGGCACCCTGAGAAATCCCGTTGCTCAAGCTACTCCTTGAGCTAACAGGCAGCAGATCTGGAAGCCCTTTTGCTAGTGCCAGAAGGAGGAAGGGTAGAAAAATAAAGCACTGTAACAAAGTGTTTTCCTTGTGCTCGTGGGGACTGCAGCCCCAGCCTGTCTGCCTCTGCCCATGGCGACACGTCCTGCTATGGGAAACAGTCCCAAATATAATAAAGGATTTCCAAAAAGTCCTTGCTGCAGTGAAAGGCAATCTGCACCCTATCACGGAGACTGCTGTGCTGTTATTAGGAAGACTCGGGTGCTGGTCTGGAACTTCTATATGTCTATATAACATCCCTGGTCAGACACAGGGAAGCAAGAAAAAATCCCAAAAGGATCCACAGGACATGCTGGCAGACAGCTAGGGAGAGGAAGAGGATCTGACAGGGGGGTAACTGCATCAACAGCCCCTTGCGAGACACCCAAGTCCCCGTCCCCTGCAAGCACTGGGAATAGCGACCAACAGAGGGAGCCAGGCAACTACTGTCACCTCCGCCACCCGCTGCCGAATTCCCAGCCCTCCGAGCTGGCCATGCAGCTCCCTTCCTCCTCCTGCCATTGTGGGGACTCATCTCTTACCAAGAGGCATCTCCTCGACATCCGCAGTGGACAGAGGAGTTTCATACCTTCCTGCCTCAGAGTCTGGCCCTGCGCACAGAGTCAGCCCTTCTGCACGGCTAGAAGCGTGTTGGGATATCCGAAGCACTCACCTTGGAGCATTTCTCCAGCACCTGCTCCTTGAACTGCAGGAACCTCTCCTGCACGATGGGCTGGTTGAGGGCAAAGGAGAGGAAGTGCGTGAAGGGCTGCTTCTTCCGCACGCTCTCGAGGAGGACGTCGATGCGCGTGCGGGCCGAGACGACCCCGCCGCGCTGCTCGCCCGTGATCACTGCAAGGAAGCAGAGCGGGATCCATGTGCCTTTCCCAAGGCTACGGGGTAACTGGTGGTACTTTGCTCCATGTGCGGGCAAAATGAAAAGTAATTAAGCAGACTGGGGGTTTTCTTGTTCCAAAACACAGTTTTCCTTTAAATGACTAGAGAACAGAAAGATACAGAGAGGCCAGGAGGGAATTATAACAACCTGCACAGCAGCACCTCTCAACTATCAGCCCAGGGCTCATGAAAGAGGATAGAGGAACTAAAACCCCCAGCTGTGCAGCGAGAAATCTTGCCTAACTCCCTGCCCGACTTAAAACACCTGACAGGGCTGTGCTTCCCCGTGCAAAGGCAGCAAAAGGTACCCCTGCATTCTCAAGAAAGCCAGCCCAGCATGGGTAAAAAAAAAAAAAAAAAAAAAGCTAAGAGTCTATCACTTCAGTGGCTCTTTGGGTTTAGAGAGCACTATTTTAAGTTTTCATAAAGGCACTTTCAGTCAAAGTGAAAAAGAAAATCTCTCAAGATGGCCTAGATGGTTTGTGCTCGCACTTCAAGGCCCCAGACAGAGAGCCCTCGAGTTAAAAAGGGAAGAACTGCAAGGAGAAGATTGTCTTTGCTTCCCATTACGCTGCGTTTTCAGCATCTCTCTACCTTCCTGGGTCTCGGGGAGAAGGTAAGACCCACTCTGTTTCACTGGCCATGAAAAAGCAGCAGCAGTGTCAAAACTCTTCCCGCATTAAAGAAAATGAAGTTTGCTTCGTGTATAAATACACAACCTTTCTGGATATTACAGCTCCTCGTTAATAGCATTATTACAAATGGAAATAATAAAAGGTTTTAAAAAAAGAGGGAAAAAAACAACACATTTGTGCCTAAAATTCTCAAGATAGTCATTTAAGGCACAGAAGACACTTCAGCAAGACGTTGCTTAAAACAGCATTTTTTTGCTCCAAAAATCTTACACTGCTTTATGAGAGTCTATAGACAGTGAAAATAAATAGAGGAGAAAACTGAAGTGATTTTCCCAGGGCCATAAAGTGAGTTAGTGACACACCAGGGGCAGAAATTAAACGAAGAATTAACAACATCTCCTGTTCCCTCCTCAGTGGCTACAGGAGAGGGCTGTAATTTCTGTGTCCGTTAAAGCTCACCGATTTCTCCCTCCACTCCAGGCCTGGGAATGCTGATGGAGGTCCGAGTCTCTGTTTCTAGCCGCTTCTTGGTCTCCCCCTTCTTCCCAATGATGTACCTAAAGGTACGAAGGTAAAGGCCCCGTCATTTTTCCCCTCCTAAACACAGGAAAAGTGGAACTGCATTTCAGGGACGGGGCTTATTGCCCCTGGCTTCCCAACACACTCGGCTCACTTGTAAAGCAGGCTGGGAACCTCCACCCGGCACCGAAAGCCTTTCTCAGTCTCCTCCACCTCAAAGGCATCGCACGGTTCGTCTGCACAGTCACCAGGGCCTGCCAGGAGAAAAAACAAAAACAAAGCAGAACAAATGAACTTTTACAACCTTTGTAAAGTCTGGCAGTGTTTTATGTAGGACAAAAGCCTCCTAGTCATCTTTTCCCAAGGTTAAATAAAGGGACAAGCGGACTTCCCTCGGTGACAGCTAATGCTTTTGATTTCATCTCACCACCAGAGCTGAAAAATAAGGAGTGCCTCTAAATCTGCCAGGCTGGGAGGAAAGCAGCAGTTACAGCCCAGGTTTTTGCTCTCCTGGCAGGGTGGAAACCTCCAGCCCACCTGGAGAATGCAGCAGGACTTCCTTGGCACACAGGAACGCGGATAGAAGGCGTAGATGGAAAGTCCTGGTTCAAGGATTCGCGTGCATGCACGAAAACACGGGAATTCTCACGCCCTCTGCAAGGGCCAGTTACAGGCAAACCTGTCATCTGCAGGGCACTCAGTCATGTCTGCTAAGATTGAGCATGATTTCATCAGAAAGAGATTTCTACCTCTCTCATCACAGCATAGAGATGGGTTTTGGGGGCTAGCAACTTATCAGAGCTTTGCTCGATCCTCTGAACAGCAGGGTGGAAGGAATCAGGACACAGCAGGCCTTTCTTATTAAGGAAAAACAAACAAACAAACAAAAAAAAACCCCAAACCCACCTAAACTATGCCCATAGGAGCTCCTGCAGAGCTACAACAAACACAAATCACAGCTAGGAAACTGAAGTTACTCCTACCAGGACAGGACCAAATCTCCAGGCCCACTGTCCAAATCACAGAAGAGCTGAGGTTGGAAGGGCCCCTGGAGACCATCTGTTCCAGCCCCCTGCATCCTCCTTTACCTGCATAGAAATCCTCTTCCTCTTCAGCATGGTAGGCCTGCTCCTGAATGAGATTTTTCCTGTAAATTCTTCCCCCAATCCTTATCAGGGTGGGACGCAGCACTTCCATGGTGCTCCTCTTTCTAGTGACAGCACTCTATTTAAAAAAAAAAAAAAAAAAAAAAAAGATAGTTCTGCCAGCTTAAGCCAAGAAACAGGAAACTCAGAGGTTTCCCAAGGGGTAGTTTCTGAGGGGCATCAGAGAAGCAAAGAATAAGCAAAACTCAGTGCCCCCTCAGCCAGAGGTGCCATTTTAGTCTAATTCTGGATTCTCGGTAGTTTCTCCTCATCATTCATTTTCACGGGGGAATTTTCAGCTGCAGATGGAAGGCACTATGGCCTCTCACAAGGAATTCTCCAGAACACCAACCCTTTTCAGAGTATCCGTCATCTCACACCAAGCTTTTCCAAAAACACAGGCCCAGCCACTTGTCCAGGTTTGGAGAGGCCTCCTACCACTGCCTCCTCCCTTTTTCCAGGGATGCTGAGCACTCCCACACCTTTTCCACCCCAGGAGACCATCATCCCCCTGCCCTGATGGGAGCTGCAGCTCAACAGCTGAAAAGGGTCACTTTGAAACGGGAGAGGGAAGACAGCTGGGGCCAGTTAATCCTTCAACTGTTGCATCCCCACCTGCCAAAAAAAAAGCCACGACTCCATCCCTTAAACACACGAGGCCACTAGGAATGATTTACGCCAAGCGCAGCTGTCCTGCAACACCTTAACACATTGCATCAGGCGGCCCTTGGACTCTTTTATTCCCTTAACAACACAGAAAGTTCACGGTGAGAGAAAAAAAAAAAAACACAGAGACGCAGCCTCCCTGTACTCCTGGCAGCTGCTGCGAGCCAAGCACTGCAACAGGGGACACGGCGTCCCACTCGGGAGAACGTGTTCTGATGTAACAGCAAGGGGAGAACTCCAGGAGCTGGCCCCGTCACGGACACGCGTGTATATTTATTTATTTATATATATATAGTTTTTTAAAGAAGGCACATTTTTCAGCAAAACAAAACAAAAAGTGTTTTCGTCGGGAAGTTTACTCACATGGGGGGAAAATAAACAGCAGACCGAACTGTCTTTCAACACGAGCTGAGCCTCAGCGGCATTGAAGGCGCACCCCGGC